CAGATATACCCAAAATCTCCTAACATTTCATTGTATTCCTTTCTCTGTGTGTGATAAGAACACAACATTATTTTTATTATTAAACAGAACTTGAAGTATAGGCCAACAGATGTTACCAGACAAAACAGGGAACAGAAATAGAAAAAGCTTATTTTGCTCAATGAAAATAGAATAATGCACTTATTTTCATTCATTCACTTACTGATTTGTTCAGATGTTTACTGTGTTCCTACTATATAATCCATGAGCATTGTTTTTAGCACTTAAAATTCAGTGATGTAAAAGAGACAAATCTTCTATTAATGATGTTTACATTTTAATGGGGGAAGTAGAAAGGATGCTTATATTTTGAATACCTTCAACTACAATGCCTCTTGAATTAATTTCTTTGGTCATTTAGTTATTCACTAACTTACTTTTGAATCAATTATTCAAAAATTATGGTCAATGTCATTTATATAATAAAAGTGATATTGTAAAAATTTTAGGAAATAAAATGGATTAAAACCACCTATAATTCCATAATGTAGAACACTTGGTTATCATTAATGTGTGGCTCTTTGTGTCCATCTCATCTGGTATTTTCTATAAAGATATATGGACCATTATAATTTTCTAAAAACAAACGAGATGATTTCATAAACTACTTTCCCTCATACTCTTAAATAATCTTCAAGAACATGATTTCTACTATTTCAAATCAGGAATAGATAGTTGCAATTTATTTAAATAATACTCTGTAATTGGACTTTCAGGGTTTTTTCTTAAAATGTAATTACTTTAAGTAGCCCTATGATAAATAGCCTTGCATATACATCTTGGAATGCATATGTGATAATCTCCTTACAGTGAATGTCTAGAAGTGATATTACTGGCTCAAGGTCTACTAAACATATATAGATTTTATATATAACCTCAACTATCTCTCCAAGGAACATAATTTTAACAAATTATAATTTATCAACATTTATTTCCCTACATCCTAACTATTATTAAGTATTTCCAGATTTTTTTTTCCTAATCACAGCCTAATTTTATATATTTTGGAATTCATACTTTATTTTTTCTTTGTAAAAAACTAGATATTAAATATAAATAGCTATGATTATGTTATATAGTTAAAATTTTTTTTTGGTGTTTCCTTTACCTTTTATGGTATTTTTTGACATTTCATTTTTATTGTTGTTTAAAACCTGTCAATGTGTACCTTAATTTTCAGTGGTTGTCTCTATGTTAAAAATTTTTTCCACTTTGATATCAGAAATTATTTGCCTATGAGAGCTTCAAGTTCTTTTATTTTTTAATAAAAGGCAAGAATCTAGTGGGGACTTTTTAAAATAGTAGGAGTTTTATGGCCAGTCAGTTGTCCTGGTGTGTATATATGTATGTACATATGATGCATTTAAAAATTTTTGGTTTGTTTTGTTTTGGGATAGACTTTCCTTTCTTCACTTAAAGATTCCACCTTTATTGTTTTCAAGCTTCTCATGCAGATGAACTGTGGACAGTTCTTTGATGATTTGTCAATCATAGAGTATAAAGCAAATTTAAATGGTACATCCTGAAACAGTTGAGAGTGTAGTTTCCATGAATAAATTTGGATTTCTCGAAATTGCCTCTTGAGGGATGCAAACCAGTAGAGTGCAAATGGCAACGTTATTGGTAGATCATGAGAGCTACACAAATCTTAAAATAGAGCAGAGCAGAGAGGCTCTTGGGGAAGATGTGCTATGTTGGCTGGACCCAGAGTGGTGAGTCTGATGTGACCTGGCAGAGAGGAAGGAGAAAGGGCATTCCAAAGGGGGGAAGCCCTGTAAGAGCACCCAGAATTGGGAGCAAGCATCATATAATAGGTGATCAGAGAGGCAGGGGTAGAAATGGTCTAGTATTTGTTAAGTATATTCTGAATGTGAACCACCAGGCTAAGCATTTTATAGGAGTAACTCTGAAGTCAGCTGAATCCTCATACTTTGTCTCCTGCATCAGTGCATGCTCAGTGCCCTGCTTCTACTCTGTTGCGATTTGATCCAGAATGCAGTATTTCTTTGAATTTCTAAAAAAAAAAATTCACTCACAAAAACTTAGTTGGTAGATGTAAACCAGTTTCTTGACCTCAGTACCTTAGACATTTTGGACTGAAAAATCCATTGATGTAGGGTCCTATTCTGTGCATGACAGGATGTTTATCCATGACCTGTACCCACTAGATGCCAGCAGTAATCCTGCTGCTGAGGTGGGATGAGCAAAAATGTCTCCAGACATTGCCAAATGTCCCCTAGGGTGCGAATTCAACTCCAGCTGAGAATCACTGATGCAGCTTATACCAAAGATAAGCAAGTTGGTGGACAGTTTTATATTGAACTATGCACAAGAACTAAGTATCCTTTTTGTTTTCTTTGCTGAACTCCCTTCTTGGTTTGCAAGTGAATTTGAGGGAGAGGTGTTTGCTAAATCTATGGCACGGTCTCTCAACTATGGCACTACAGACATTGGGGCCATGTAATGTTTTTGTTTTGGAGGTTGTTCTGTGTATTGTGTGATGCTCAGCAGCCCCACTGGGCCCTACCCAGGAGATGCCAATCCCCCTCCCCCGAGTTGGGACAACCAAATCTATTCCCAGACACTGACAAAATTGGCCCTGATGGAGAACCACTGATGCAGATTATGCCAAGGATAGGAAGGTTATAGGGTTTTATTCTCTATAACCCAAAAGATATAAGTTAAAAATCCTCTATTTTTCCCTCTCAAGTCATTTTTTGGTTGCTATGCATTTGGGGTTTTTTGTTTTGTCTGGTTCTGCTTCTGCTCTCACAGAGCTTCTCCGTTTCAGCGCTATTACTGATCTGGGCCAAATAATTCTGTCTTTGTGGGGGCTGTCCTGTAGATTGTAGGGTGTTTGGCAGCATCCCTGGCCTCTACCCACCCCCGTGGTTGAAGCAACCAATGCTGTCTCCGCATATGTTAACCGGCTCCTGGAGGGGAGGGGCTAAAGCGCCCTGGCCAGCGCCAGTGCTCTAGTTCTGCCCTCCTTTCCCCCGTGCAGGGGCTCTTCCTCCGGCCTTTCTTGGGCAAACGTGTGTTTCTCTCCTTTTGTGACTCATAGATGTTGAGTGATAATTTCTGTTGTTGTTTCTTGAACATGATTGAAGAACCTCACTATGTCAAGTGGTTTAATTGCTACGTTTTTCTCTAACAAATATAGCATTTGCCCCTAAGAAAAATTCTGGCAAATACCATTCACTCCAATTTGCTAAACATTCATCATTTCTCCCTGAGTGAACAGGAGCAGGCCACATGAGCTGCTATCACGGGTTCTGCTATAGCTGCTTTTGCATTAGAGCACATTTGCGCATGCCTTTCTATTTCACTAAATTTGAACACATGGGCAACCTGAAGACAAGCATACAGTCTTGTACATAGTAACTGTATTGAAATGAAAAGGATGTAAATATTGGAATCAGGCATGTCTGGGTTATAATATCACTGAATTCCTCTTTAACTAGATTTAGTGACTTTAGGGAAGTTTGTTTCTTCCTCTGACCTTGCTTCATCCTCTACAAAATAGGCATAAGATCACCTTCTGATTGTTTTTTATAATGATTATAAGTAATAAAGCACTGGGTATATATCAGACACTTACAAATGTTAATAACCATTGTTACTAATTTTTGCCAACAGATATTGAGGCCTATATAAAGAGCCTTTAAAGCTAGACTTTAAACCTCAGACATCCATACCTTGAGTGTTTACCTCTTTATTTCACTTAATTTCTGACTTATTGTTGTAGTTATGGCTGAGTGATACTGGCGAAAAAGATTGTTGCATTCATTTTTCATTTTGTCAGAAATTTTAAGGCTTGACTAATTCTAATGTTCTCATAAACCCTGTATTTTAAAATTTAGCATCACTGTGAGGATTTCTTCTTGCAATGTGAGAAGATGCATATTGTTTCTAAATAAAACATTAGAATTATAAATTAGGAGTTTTACTAAAATTGGTTCCTATGGCAGAAGTGTCCTTTGAGTTTTTAATGTTTTTCCCATTATATATTTTTCTTTCCTGTTAATTTTTCCTTTTATGTGTATATGCAGTTTTGACCTTTTCAAGACAAATTGAAACATAAAGTGTGATGAAAAGAAAACAGACAACTTGTCAAGTCACATTACAAAAATCAAAATGGAAGAATGCACTATTCTGGTCATTTAAAAGGGCTTCAGTGCTCAATTTGTTACACAAAGTTGTGGTTTTTCCCTAGATTAGAAAATAAAGTGGTAATATAAGGCTGGGGTATACAACTTTAGTTATAATATCATAGAATTTAGAGGTGAAGGGAATCCCAAAATTATTAAATGTAATCATTCCAATTTGTTAGTGAAGAAAGTAAGGCCTACAGAAGACAAATGACCTCCACCAAATTTTTAACCAATGGTTAGTGATAGAGTTTGTATGAAGATCTGAATCCCAGGGAATCAGACACCCTGCTCTGTTAGCTTCTCTGTGAAAGAGTACTGTGGAATCTTCTAGAAGATTTCACATGCATTTTCTAATGAATTTTTTTAAATTAGGGGATGATAGTGGAGATATTTTAGGGATTGTTGTGACACCAACCACTGGGGCAAAATAGAAATTTTGGTTGGATTAAGCTTGATAAAAAGTGTTTCAATTTAGTGCAACTATTTTAAAGCAAGGAAAGCACCATTGTTGGCTTCTACCAAGTCTTTTAGAGAGGACACAGATGGACATAGCAGGCTATAAAAGAAACTAGATTTTGACTAACACATAACATTTTTTCCCACAGTCTCTCACTCTCATTTTCAAAGCACTTTGGTTTTATTAAGGAACATACACAATACCGAAAGCTTAGTAACAGTGTTTAAGAATTGGGGAAGTCTCTAAACTCCCAGTATGTTTCTAACACTTCCTTATGTACCTAGAATATGACATATCTTTAACACATCCTGACTTTTCCAGTGGTTGGGTGCAACTTTCCAGTGTAGACGTCAGAAAAACTCCTTGGGTTTTCCTTGAGATTTTCTTGATTTTTTTTCCTGTGTCCTTTTTTTGATGATAGCGCTCAGCCATTGTCGCAAGATCTTCTGGGACACTTTGATTTGCTCTTTTCAGAATTTTAATCAAATCAGTGGCAGTCTTCCAATTATCTTGAGTCATAAGGGTAACCGATATGCCAGTCTTTCCTGCCCTTCCAGTACGCCCTACCCTGTGTACATATTCTTTGGTATTCCATGGGAAACGGTAATTATACTCATGTGTAACATTGTTAACATCGAGACCTCGGGATGCTAAATCATAGCAGTCAATATTTTCACGTCTCTGGTTTTGAAGTCCACTGATGCTTGCTCATGATCACTTTGTTCTCTGTCACCATGCAGTGATCGCTCAGGTATGCCTTGAATGCTTAAGTCACTTGATAAGTCATCAGCAACAAATTTTCTGCTGATAAAAACGATGACTTTGTCTTTGGGTGACAGGCTCTGTAGGAATTCTTGGATAAGAGATCATTTTTCTTCTTCTGCAGTAACAATTATATTTAGCTTCACTGTATTAACAGCAACTAGATCCAGAGTACCAACATAAACAATCGTAGGCTTTCTCAAATAAGATTGCTCAAGTCGACGAAAACCCAAGATCCAGCATTTTATCTGCCTCGTCTAAGTCCAAGTAGGTTATGTTTCTTAGGTTGACCAAGTTTTTCACTTGCAGATCGTTCAGTCATCCAGGAGTTGAAATAATGATGTTTATCCCTTTGGTAATGTCTTGTATTTGTCCCTCTCTATTTCCACCACCATGTATACAGATACTTTTAAGACCTTTATATGAATACTTAGAATGTTTCCTTCCACCTGAAAAGCTAATTCTCTTGTAGGCATAAGGATTAGCATGCCAGGTCTGTTCCTTTGTTCTCTAGATATTAGTTGATTGAGATGGATAATCCCAGGCATTAAATAGGACCATGTTTTGCCTGTTTCAGCTTCGGCGACTCCGATAAGATCTATTCCTTGTAGGATAATTGGCCATGCCTGTGACTGAACTGGCATTGGCATTTGAAAACCTGCTTTTTAAATTCTTTTCATAAGTTTGAGATAGTGTTGGAAAGCATCCTCAAATTTACAAGTAGGATTGGGGGAGAGACGTTTTTCACCATCCTTCAAGTCATCACACATTATGTTGAAAATTTCCTTTCTCCCAGTTTCCACCTGCACTTGAGACAGTGAGCTTATTGCTTTGATTTTTATGTAAAAGTTTTTCTTAACTGGTGGTAAATCTGCCCATTTTCTTTTTTCCCCACTCTACAACTTCTGCCTTAATTTGATCCCAATCTATCAATGGCTGAACTTCTCTAAAAACGCTGTCTGTGTTTATGTCTCTTCCAACAGAGGGTTGTGATACAGGTTTATCTACACTGAATTCTCCATTGTATCTTCCTTCTTGTTTTTCAACAAAAGTTTCTGTAGCTGCTTTGACCTTTGCTTTCATGTCCTTGGTGCCAAAAATTTTTATCTCTACTTCAGAATCACCTTTTATGATCTGTATTTTGGTGTTTGTCATACCCTGGATGTCTTTTATTTTTTATCCACTGCAACCAATCACCACACCCGTCATGCTGTTCAGTAATCTAAAGCAGAGAGTGGTTCCTGAGAGCGGGAGGGATCACTCCAGCCCCTTCCTCGGCCCCCTCTGCTGCCCCCTGCTGGCCCTGAGGTCTCCTGGATTAGATTCCACCCTCTTCTGCACTAGGGCCCAGGCCATTGCTGGATAATGGCAAGGTTGGTGCTGACCTCTCGCTTACCTAGGATTGGGTGATGATGTGGTCTGAGACCTTTTTCTCTTCAGGGTCTTGATCAACCAACTATACCACCAGTAGGTAGCTATGCAGGCCTTACATAGGGAATCACTGTTTGATGTGGTATCAGGGGCTTTTATTGCTTGGCCAATCACAGGGCTGGGACTAGGGCGAGGCAAGCATGTGCCTCTGATGCAAAATTTAAAGTGACATGCACTCTTAGGGACTGATCTTTTTTTTAATTTTAAATTTAAAAAATTTATATTTTTTTATCAATCAACTAAAAATATCATTGATATACACTCTTATGAAGGTTTCACATGAAAATCATTGTGGTTACTGCATTCACCCATATTATCAAGTCCCCTCTATACCCCATTGAAGTCACTGTCCATCAGTGTAGTAAGATGTCACAGAGTCACTACTTGTCTTCTCTGTGCTACACTGTCTTCCCCATGACCCCCCCAACACCATGTGTACCAATCATAATACCCCTCAATTCCCTTCACCCTTTCTCCTCACCCACCCTCCCCAACCTCCTCCCCTTTGGTTACCGCTAGTCCCTTCTTGGAGTTTGTGAGTCTGCTACTGTTTTGTTCTTCAGTTTTGCTTCATTGTTACACTCCATAAATGAGGGAAATCATTTGGTACCTGTCTTTCCCCTCCTGGCTTATTTTTCTGAGCATAATACCCTCTAGCTCCATCCATGTTGTTACAAATGGTAATATTTTTCTTCTTCTTATGGCTGAATGGTATTCCATTGTGTATATATACCACATTGTCTTTATCCATTCATCCACTGATGGACACTTAGGTTGCTTCCATTTCTTGGCTATTGTAAATGGTGCTGCGATAAACATAGAGGTGCATCTGTCTTTTTCAAACTGGGCTCCTGCATTCTTAGGGTAAATTCCTAGGTGGGGAATTTCCAGGTCAAATGGTGTTTCTATTTTTAGTTTTTTGAAGAACCTCCATGCTGCTTTCCACAATGGTTGAACTAGTTTACATTCCCGCCAGCAGTGTAGGAGGGTTCCCCTTTTTCCACATCCTTGCCAACATTTGTTGTTGTTTGTCTTTTGGATGGTGGCCATCCTAACTGGTGTGAGGTGATATCTCATTGTGGTTTTAATTTGCATTTTCATGATAGTTAGCAATGTGGAGCATCTTTTCATATGCCTATTGGCCATCTGAATTTCTTCTTTGGAGAAGTGTCTGTTCAGGTCCTCTGCCCATTTTTTAATAGGGTTGTTTGCTTTTTGGGTGTTGAGGCATGTGAGTTCTTTATATATTTTGGATGTTAACTCGTTGTTGGATATGTCATTTACTAATATATATCTCCCATACTGCAGGATGCTTTTTTGTTCTGTTGATGGTGTCCTTTTCTGTACAGAAGCTTTTTAGCTTGATGTAGTCCCATTTGTTCATTTTTGCTTTTGTTTCCTTTGTCCGAGGGGATGCGTTCAGGAAATAATTGTTCATGTTTATATTCAAGAAATTTTTACCTATGTTGTCTTCTAAGAGTTTTATGGTTTCATGACTTACATTCAGGTCTTTGATCCATTTTGAATTTACTTTTGTGTATGGGGTTAGACAATAATCCAGTTTCATTCTCTTACATGTAGCTGTCCAATTTAGGGACTGATCTTAAAGACACTTACAGGACCTTGAGAGTGTGTTTCCTCAACTTTTGTGTTCTGGGTGCCTCAGTGGCTCACCTCATACTACTAGTTCTGGCTCAGCATCGAAGCAGACTTGAAGCAGGCCTTTAACTTATCCACGTAGTCTTTTTTATAAGCCAGTTATTTTCATAGGAGGAAAAAAATGGTGGATTTAAAAAAATCAACTTATTTACATATTTGTGTATTTATTTTGGTAAATTTCTTTTTCAGTAACAATAATACTTGGTGTTAATAAAAGCATCATTTCCCTGTCCTCTTCTATAACTCAAATTATACCATCAGAAGTTTCTTGAGTACACACTTAAGGGACGGCATTTTGCCTTTGATTCTTCACTAAACTAACATTTGCTAAGGCGGTTTCATTATTATTTCAGGGATGCTGTTTAGAAGAGAGGTAGAATTGGGTCTAAGGTACCTTAGGGAGTGTTTTCAATAGTTTGCTAATTTTCTCAGTGTCTCTTAATTTTTTTTCTTCCTGATGGTTTCACAGATTCAGAGATCTTGGCATTGGAAGGCTATGTAGAAGTCATTTATTAGGTGCAACATAGAAGACACCCTAGCAGCAATCTTCTCCTGACTTCTGAAGTTACACAGAATAGCTTTGATTCTCTTTGTCCCCTTATATGCTTAAGGGCCACTGTCAAATCCCCTTAAGGTTTCTGTTCATCAGGGTAAAGTTCCTAGTTTCTTCAACGTTTCTTGATATGACATCGTTTCCAAGGTGCATACCATCCTGTTCCTTCTCCTTTGGAAATGGTTCATTGAGGACCTCTTGTGATGTGGCACATCGAACTAAATGACACAGTCTGAAGAAATGGCCTTACCATTGTATGAGGAGGTCCTCTTCACAGAGCATGACAGTTCTACAGCTTCTCCCTATGAACTCCTAAGTTGCAAAGCTACTCAAAGGAACATGATGGACATTTAAGTCCATTCTTCCTCATCCTGTACTTAAATAATTTATTTTTGTTTTTTTTCCTTTGTTCAACTAAAAGTAGGCTATATATTTATCCCATTATATTCATCCTGCTAAGTTGGTCAATTGAAGCAGCCTATTAAATATAATTTTCATGCTGATTCTCTCAGTCATTGTATTATCCTCTCTATAGTTTCAAGTCATCTGCCGATCAACTGCTCACGACATCTTTCTCCTTATAGCCAAAGGTGCTGATTAAAATTTGAACATGGTAGGATATAGAAAGTAGGAAGTATAGAGGTAAAAGTCTTTGGCACATTAGGAAAAACCTTGTATGTCAGCACTTTTCCTGAAAGATGCTTTTTGAAAAAAAATAAAAGGTTACTGGCTAAATAAGTTTGAGAAATACAGTACCCTCTGTCCCCTCTATTAGAGTCACAATGCACAATTAGGTAGTGCAGAGGCTCTGGTAATTACAGGAATCAAGAAACTCCATTGGGCATTGTTGAACCCAAAGTTTCCTAAGACTTTGCCAATGGAACCTCTTCTCAATATTTTAACTAAGCTTTTTTTATGGAACGATTTTAGATTTGCAGAAAAGTTACACAAGTAGTAAAAGAGGTTCCCATAAACTCTCATCCAGTTTCAGGATCCTCTAATCTTACCTCTCATGTTGCCGTGGTACATTTGTCAAATATAAGAAATCAACATTGGTGTGTTAATATTAACCAAACTCCAGACATTTTGCCACCACTTTTACATTAATGTATTTTTTTCTGTTGCAGGATCTAGTCCAGGATGCCACATGGCATTTAGCTGTCATGTTTGATTTGTGACAGTTTCTCAGTCTTTCCTTATTTTTCATAACCTGGTCAGTTTTAAGGAGTAAATGGTCAGTTATGTTGCAGAATGCCCTTCAGATTGGGTATGCCTGATATAATTTCTCATGATTAGATTTGGGTCATGGAGTTTTGAAGAAAATATCATGGAAATGACATGTCCTTCTTATCGCATTGTATTGGAGGTGGGAGGGGAATCATAACTGATGTAACATGATGTGTCATTGGTAATGTTAATCTTGGTCACTTGGTTAAATCGTGTTACCCTGTTTTTCCCACTATAAAATTATTTCTCTTTTTACATACTCTATTCTTTGGAAGCAAGTTACTAAGTCCAGATGACCCTCAGAGGCCTACCTCCTGTTTAAGCATAATTCTTATTAATATTTTGTGTGACTAGTAATGTTCCTTGTAATATATTTGGAAAACACTACTCTGGATGAATATAGATTATCTAATGAATTTTGTTTCCATTTGGTTGTTCAACCAGATGTCCTCTGACCAAATCACATTAAGACTCTTCTACACTTCTCCATGTATTATACTAGGAGTTTTAAAGCATTCCCAGTATCTTTTAGTTCATTAAATATTAAAATGGAAAATTTGCTTAGTCAGATGTGGCTTTTACTTAATGAAGAGTATGCTATGTTTTGCTTTCTCTATGTCTTTATGCCTCATCTTTAATTTGAGTAATAACTACGTGTTACGGAACCACAGAATTCCAGAGGTGTTGGATATGTCAGAGGCCATCTTGTTCCTCTCTTATATTATAGAGAGAAGGAAACTGAGGCCCTAAAATCCTTCTGGACTTAACCAAAAGTATTCACCCGTCCTTAAGAGTATAAATTGAGAACCATTTCTTGGCTTGCAGAGAAGGGCTCTTATTCTGCTACTGTGAAGTGACTTGTTTCTGTTCCTCTTGTTTTATGTGAGTGATGTGGAAGAATAGATGAAGCCATGAAAATTAAGTCAAGGAAAGTCATAGAGTGGGGAGGAGGGTAGCTGTAAAATTGACTACAAGAGCAGTGCACTTTAAAGTGGAACTCATAGTGAATTACTGGGATGGAACATACTTTTTGTGGCTATTGCAGGCACTGAGTGAGATTGTGCCTTCAGGGTCATTCATTACCATCTATGATTGGCCTTATCAGTTGGAGAAATTGATTGTTACCTAAGTTAAGGGCCATCAGCGTGACATTCTTTGCTTCACGTATCTGTGCAACAGGCTTACCTCTTATGTCTGAAATGTTCCCATTAGACATTTACCCCTGTGGTTTACGGTGTGGTACCTTATTAACTTGCTCTTGAAAAAAATAGAACACAAAAGTGTGTCAGTTAGATGCATCTAGTAGAGCAGCTGGCTAAGAGGTTCTTATAGGGCAGAGGGAGGCAAAAAAGGAAGGGTTTGAGTTTCTAGCAAAGTATGTCCGAAGGTAAGAGGAAAGAGAATGAAAGGAAAGACAGGAGTGTGTTAGGACATTCTTCACCATTTTGCTTAGGGTGGTCCCTTACTTTATACTTAAACTTATTGACAATAGTAAGAGAGTCAAATATGGCAGGAAGTCAATTGAGCTTATTTCCACTCTAATTTCTACAAAATTTTGCTGTAGATAAGTTCCTATGTTGATGGCCCAAAGTGTTCTCATAGGTGGGACTTCCTTAGAAACAGTCTTAATGGTATTTTATTTAATAAACCTTCTGTGATGATCTAAGGTGACCTAGACTTGTGGAATTCCAGTTAGCATTGATGATTATAACAATTATAGTTGATTTTACATTGGTATAGCCCTTTACAGTTTATAAATACCTATAGAAATGGTCTACTTGGATGATATATATCTGGCCATTCTGTTCTGCAAATGTGATACATTATGGCAAAAGCTGCCATCATCATTGAACATATTGGCATGTTGACTTTGTGCACAGAACCAGTCTCAATACTGTAGAGTCTAAAAAAGTGGCAGCAGTATGGGGTAGTGGTCAAGAACACTGGAGCCTAAATAACTGGGTTCAACTCTCAATTCTACTACATGTTAGCTGTGAGTCCTTGAGCAAGTTCAAGCTTCTTATGCCGTGGCTCTGCTATCTGTAGAGTGACATACTAATACCTATCTCATACACACAGAGACACACTCATATTTACACTACTTGGATCATGGTAGGAATTCTCCAAATCTCAATTAGCCATGTTATGAAAACAGTGGGTACATAGAGATAATTATGGATGTTCCCAAATGCCTGTCCAAGAATTGCCCTGATGCAGTTTCTTCTGGTCCACATCAAAGTGAAAAAAAACTAAGGATAATAAAAATTTTTTTCATAAACCTAAATTCATTCAATTAAAAACATTTTATTCTGACATCATGTCCTTCTATTTTTGGTAAAATGCCCTTTTGAAAATGAAATGAGGATTACAGATGATTTTTAAAGATTTTTAGTAAGACAAAAAAAAGTAAAACTAATGCCAGTAGCCAGGTTTGACTTTGAAATGTTACTGGTACGTGAAAACCAAGGAATTATAAGTGTTCATCTAGCACATTAGCAAATAAACACAATTCAAAATGCTTTTAGGTATTAATCATAATTGCAGGCAAGAAGAGCTGGAGGGAGGTCTGGGAGGCTGGAGAATTGAGGCAAAGGCCTATAAGGGGTGTTGGTCTGATCTGTCACCAGGAGGTGTGAAATCAGAGATGGGAGGATGTTGGAGTTTCAAGGGAGGAAACCACTGTGGCCTTAGGCAAGAGATGAAAGCAGCCGAGAGGGCAAGGATAGAAGATTCAGGTTAAGGAGAAAGGGAACATGGAGAAAAATAATTTAGATCAGGGGAAGGGAATAGGGAACTTTCAGGATCGGTAAAGACAATCAAAGAAGTTTCAAATTAATATGGTTTAGGAATCTGGGAGGTCGGGGTAAAGGCTAGAATGAAGGAGTCATGTGACACTGTCAATGTTAATTAGGGAAGCAATGGACAAACTACAGAGAAAGCCAGATGCAGTGTTGTGCAGTGAAGAATGGGGACTGTGCTAGTGGTATTTTAAGCATGTTGGCCTGAGAGACTTAAACAGAGTGTGGCAGTGATAATTCAGAGAAAGGAAGAGCTAGAAAGAGAAGGAATCTAAATAGCAATGCCAGGTATTTAGTCCTACTATATGCCAAACATTTAAAAGGCATTATCTTATTTAATCATCACAGCAGCTCCACAGTAGGTATTTTCTTCCTTCTTTATGCGAAAATACCGAAACTCCTAGATGTCACACAATACATCCAAGTCTATGCAAACATATGGTAAATAACTTAGCTAAATTTAAACACAGGGCTGATTAGCTTCAAGGCCTTTTCCCCTCCATAAACTCCTGTTTAGGGGTACACATGCTTGCTTTGCCGCCTGATTCTAGAGATGGGTTGAAAGGAATGTTTAATCAAGGAGGTCACAAGCTTATAGCTTAGAGACTCAGAAGCAAAGAATCTTGAAGCCATTTGACAGGGAAGTTGGAGAGGAAGTTATTTGTAGAACAAGTAGAGGAGTTTGGTTTCAGACCTGTCCAGTTTGTGGCCGTGTGTGGGGACGTGCAAGCAGAAATGCTCAGTAGGAGTGGAGATTTGGGGCTGTAGTTCAGATGAGAAGGCAGGATGAGAGGTAGGACGAGAATAATTAGCATGGAAGTTATAGTTGGAACTGAGAGGATGAATATTCTTCCGAAGAAACAGAGAGTAACAAAAGACAGGTTTAAGGATATCTTAAGGAATCAGAGAATTCATATGATTAGGTAATGAGAAGAAGAGGACAAGGAAGTGAAGAAACAAAAAGTCAAGAGAAGCAAAAGAGAATTATAATAGGAAGCAAAGCAAGAGAGCATGTCAGGAAGGCCTGGTATGCAATGCAAAATACTTCATGAAGGCCAGGAGGTAAGTAGACTGCTAAATTTGGGACAGGACTTTCAGTGACTTTCAAGAAGGCCTTTTTCATGGAGTGATGGAGAAACATGTAAGGGAAGCAATTGGGATGAGAGACAGGTGGACCACTGGAGAACTTTTCAGTGATGGGCCGAGAACTTTTCATCTTGTACTGAAAGCTGAAGGGCACTGTCTTAATTTTTAAACAAGGCTTCTAGGAAGCCAAGATTTCATGAGCAAGTGACTGGGATTGTTCTGTGAAAGATCCAGTGGATTTCAGGAAAGATTTCTTATCATGAATATTAGAAGGAAATGAACTTTAATAGTCTTTCAAAATATGTGGGAGGATAGGGTAAGGGAGAGATTCTCAAGGAAACAAGAACCATTCATTAGCAGCTTCAGAAAAGGAAAGTCTTTCCAAAAGGAGGGAGAGGGAGTACTGGGAGTTCTTTCAAGGAGATTACAGTGCTATTTTTAGCTACCTATTAAACCTTTCTCTATCAAATTTAGTTTATTCTCCACAGAGTGGGGGGATGCATTATTTCGGTGTATGAAAAAGTGAAGTTATTGAGGTAATTAATTCTCCTTTCAGCACAAACTGCAAAAAAAAAAATTTTGTAAGCTGATTAGCACCTGCAATAAGCTCCTTTGGAGAAATTCTTGCTTACCAACTACTTCCTATGGAAATTTTAACATATTGGCATTCGTTTTAAAAATAATAACCTTCAATTATCCCTTGGCTCCATTTTGGAGCATTTGAAGGGCTTTCCAGGACTATTTCATTTCTGATAGCTGTGATGTAGGGAAGTGGAAAGAGCAATAGTATTATCTACATCATTTGCATTATATACAGAAGCCAGACAACAATCCTTAGAATCTTGGGATTTTAGACGTGGGAAGGACTGACTTGGGAGAGCATCTTTTCTAACCCTCTCATTT